GGTGCCAACTTTGAGCCTTTCTTGAGCTTTGTTGTTGTATCTTCAGTACCATCCAGGGCAGGTTTTGAGCCTTTCTTATTCCAGCCAAACCACCCTTTCTTCTCCTTGACAGGAGCACCATTGGCTTCTCCTCCTGAACCATTTTCCTGCTGATTGCTAACGTCATTCTCTTCATCTTCAACAGCATCGGAGTTCCCCATCCGAAGAGCAGAATCCAATTGCATTCTTTCCTCAGGCGTTAATACATCTTCAAAACCATCATTCTCGGCGCCATTTGTCACTCTCTCTTCATCAACAGCAAACAGTTCCTCGTCAGTCATTGCACCTGGAACCCTTCTTGATTTCACGCTCACCATCACGTGAAGCATGTCATACACTTTTGCTTTCCAACTCCCGACCATTTCTGTCCTCTCTTGCCGTCTCCAATTCGATTGAGGAACTAAATCAGCTTGAGTGACATCAATGCCAGGCCTATACATGTTAGTCTGAGACATTTGTGCCACTTCATGAGCAACTTCCGTTTCTGTCGGTTGGGTTCCTGCTCCCTCCAAAGCGTTTGTCACTTCTTTTTCCTTGTGAGAAAGAACAATCAAAGAACCAGGAGATAGTGATATTTTCCCATCATCAGACGTGTAACCCTCTCCTAGAAAAAGAAATGTCTGATCTGATCGCTGGATGCGGAACCCATCAAAACCTGCAAGGGTCATATCAGCACGGAGATTTGAACCTCGCTTCCATATCCGGTAGGTGTCTGAGGGGGCAATACGACTGATAAAAGGAATAACGGAACTCTCAAAATGAAAGGTTATCTCCATGTAAAAATCACGGATACGAGACGCTGAAGCAGTTATCCGAGGAAGCCTCCGACACCATTTGGCCCAAGCAAGAGGCTGGTAGTGGCGTGCAATAATCAAAGCAATCGCCTCTTCTCTAGTGCAAACCGCTTCTTGTAGTGCACTCCAGCCATTCTCGTTTTGCAGGCTCCAATCTGCTCCAGCAGACATCAAAATCTCAGCAGAGATTGGGTCTCGTAGACGAACAGCAAGATGCAAAGGGGTTTCACGGCCAGGAACATCGCGGCGATCAATGACTGCGGTGACAGCATCAGCACGAGCCTCGGCTTCCAAAGACTCAGCCTCGTTAGTAACCTCACCAGCCTTGGCTAAGAGAGGAAGGTCCATAACGATTCGCCTAAGAGCAGCATGATCATGAAGCACAACCGCCAGATGGGCAGGACTATGGGTATACTTTGAGTAATCTTCCATAGCCTCCTCACTTGTTCTTGATCCAA